TATAGTGTTATTTTAATTAATTAATCTCCCAAATGATAAACTTACATTTCTAAAACAATAATATTTATACAAATAATCTTTAAAAATAATAAATGTATTGATAAGATGAATTAATATTTGATGAATATTTGATTGACAATATTTCTTTATATCATCTTGTTCTAATACAAGTGAAATCATATTAATGAAAAATCCAATTCCTATAATATAAGGTTCTGGATTTATATTAAAATCAGAAATTGTTTTGATATTTTCTATATATTTAGTAATAATTTGTATAAAAAGATCTGTTTTCAATTCATTCTTTTGTATAATTGTTGAAATCACTTGAGAAATAATTTTTTGAGTTAATAAAAAAGAAATAGATGATAATTTTGATATAATAAATGTTAATTTATTTATATTTATTACATCATTTCTTATCAGTATTTGTTTAAGAAAAAACAATATAATTTCATATCCATTATATTTATATTGACAATTAGAAAGTTTATTTAATTCATTTTCATTATATTTAAATATTTCAAAACAATTAACTTTTTGTGTACAATTTCCTATAACAAGATATATTATACTAATATTTCTTTCTTTTTTATATCCAATTATTATTCTTTCTTCTTTATTACAACTTATTGTTGATAAATTAATAACTCCTTTATATTCTTCTCCTTTATTATTAAACAAAATATTTATTTTTTTATTTTGTTTTTTTGTTTTAAACATTATCATAATTTCTTTTGTTTCTATTATTGTTTTAATCTTTTTCATTTCTTCTTTGTTCATTTCTATAATTCCTTCACTTTCAATTTCAATTCTTCCTTGTTTAATTTTTTTAATTCCTTCTATCTTTTTAATAAATATAATATACTTTTCTTCTTTGTATTGTTTTATTTCATGTTCATCAAAACTTATCATCTCATTATTTGTTCCTCCTATACCTATTTCAATTTGACATTTTTCTTGTTTCATCTCTTCTTCTTCAATCACTTCTTTGATTGTCTTTTGTTTATTATTCACTTTTCTAATTTGAATACTATCAATTCTTTCTCTTCCATACATAATTTCATTCATTGCAATTATTCCAATTCTTTCAATGTTATAGTTGTTAATATGAATTCCTTTGTTTTTCATTTCTTCATTAATACAACAAATACAAAGACTCTTCTTTTCATATTCATTTTCTTTGTTATTGAATACAACACTTTCTGGTATTTCTATACATCTCATCTCAGAAA